TGCTCGCAACCTGGGTACAACGATGTTCTGTGGTCCTCTAACATCTTGTCCAATTTATGGGTCCCCTTTTCACTTTCGCAATCCTCCTTTGCGTCCTGCAACATCTGACCAAGATCATCCGCAACGTTGTTGCCATCAGCATCCCTTTCCTCCTCGCCCGTTTGATTTCCTTCAAATCCAGCGTACTGAGCAAAGTCCGGAATATTGTCGTCTTCCACTTCATCTTCTTCCATTTCAACACCTTGCTCTCCGTGGGATGTCCAACAATTATAGCTTGGCATGAACCCCGACTCAAACAAGTGGAAATGAATAGTCCTGGATGTAGAATACTCCTTCCAATTCTTACACTTATTGCATGGACAACAAATAAAACCCTTTTTCCTGTTAGCTTCGGCCACTCTCAAAAAATAATGCACGCCGTTAATAAACTCTTTGGACCGCCGGTCAGCGTACATCCATTGCCGATCCATCTACATGACATGAAAAAAAATCGTACACACATAATTATTCGTACAATAATGACAGTCATGCAATAATTATAAAATAATTACAAACTCTTTCAACAGTCACACAATAATGACATATCATTATTCATACAAAAATTATGAAATATTACACCGAATAATTATATATTTACTATTTATAAAGTTTTAAACTAATATTAATATAATGTGTTGTACTTATTTTAATTTTTCATTTTACTTTGTTTTCTATTATTCAAGATTAACTTTCACTATATTCTCCTTCTCAACTATTTTATAAAATCTTCTTTAGCAAATAAACTAAATTTCTATATATTCTTTCTTCTCCACACAAATTTTCTCTCTCATCAACTAACAACAGAATTTTGGAGACAAAAAAGTGTGCAAAACATAGCTCCAAATGTAATATGAAAAAAAAACATTGGAGGATGAAGTTGCTAACCTTTTAGGCACCTCCGATTTGTATATAATCACCAAAATAAATTCACTAGAAATTTTGGCATGACCTCCTCTCTTTTTTGAAGAAATTTTGAAGCTTGCTCGGGCTGAAGGAGGAAGAAGACATATATATAGGGGTGGGACTTTAGTCCCGGTTGGTGTTATGAACCGGGGCTAAAGATTGCCGGGATCTTTAGTCCCGGTTGGTGTTGACAACATTTGAACCGGGACTAAAGATCATCTTTCTTTAGTCCCGGTTGGTGTTTACTAACCGGGACTAAAGATCAAATATACTCGTTACCCTTTTTAACCTTTAGTCCCGGTTTTTGTTGCAACCGGGACTATTGTGGAATTAGCCTGACCGACGAAAGATGGTTTCTCCACTAGTGCTTCGATCCAAAGGAGCAATTCCTATATGACTCATTTCGTTTGTACGATTGCTTCAAAGAAAAAAAATCGATGGATAGGAAATTTTCTTTCATTTCTTGGAGGATTCTAGCGTAACGTCCAACCTCATGTTTTTAAATTCTTTTTTCGAGAGCTCTAAAGCATCTTTTTTTCATTCTTTTTCCATTCTCTCCAAGAAATCAACGTGATCTTAAAAGCTTCCTGTGTTCTTCCTATGATACGACATCCAAAACAAATGTTTTCCGCAATTCATGTAGTTCTCTTTTCTAGAGAATTTAACATACATAGCATGACACTCCAATCAATCATATGGTTTTTGTATTCCCAATTCTGTATTCCAGAGGATCCATAATTAATAAAGGAGTACAATGCTGTCCTATAGATGAGGTTTTCTATGGTGTACCATACGGCAGTATTTTTGAGGACTTTTATGGTACACTATTCCACAAGTATATACTTGCAGTATAAATGATCTAACGGTGTAGATTCATCTAATATTTCTTCCAATTAGCTTGCAGTATAAATTGAAAATGGTATATTTGTCTTTTCATCTTTTTGCTTGGGGGTACTTTTGTATTTTTGTGTTTCCTTCTTTAGTCCGATCCCACTCGACAGAAACGGTGGCTCAGATGAAATCCGCTCAAGAGAAATCCATTTCCTTTCCTTCGTCACATAAGCTACCGCCACCACCGACGGCCACCGCGAGCAAGCGCCGCCTGCGCCGCCGCGAACGAGAATCAGATGTGGGGGAGAATGGGCCAGGGCAGGAGGTAGGGTGCCAGGGACACAGGAGAAGCCGAGCTTGGAAGGAATCGCTCCGCCTTCACGCGCGCCATCGACAATCGGACCGTCGCCACGCGCAATGTCTTCTTAAGGAGCGATAGCACGCCCGGCGATGAGATCCAGGACAATTATTCCCTATGGAGATAATTAAATCTCAACTTCAAATGACTAAACAACCCTTCCTAGTTTTTTAATAAATACCAAACCTACCCTTATATATACTGCAAGTAAATAAAGCCCTCTTTTTTTTCTCCAAGAAAATACTCGGAGTGTTCCTTGACAACTACCAAAACAATATTGTCTTGTCCTCATCTGGTACCCTAAAACCTTTGATACACCGATTCCCTCACCACTGATCTGCTGCTAGCCACTGAGTGTCGGAATCACCGATAAGTACTAACACTCTAACAGCTAGCTCAGGCCGGTTTGCCTATAAAAGCTCTACGGGCACACACTTACCATGCCATCCACAAGTGCACAAGACCACCACCTACGACGTCTTACGCTCTTAGCTAGGCAGGTCCCTCCTCCCAAGTCTCAAACCAATACAGGAGCTAAGACTGCTTGAGCAACCCCTGCAATGGCGGCGAGATCCTTGGCCGTGCCACTCCTCCTCACCCTCTGTCTGCTGGCCGCGCATCTCCTGACCGTGGCGTGCGCGCGCCACCACCCGCCGTCGCCGCCGGAGACCGAGGGCTTCGACGTCGTGGATACCTCGCCCACCAACGATGGCCCCAGCCCTGCCGGCGGCCACGGGAACCATCCATCGGCGGCCGTCGTTATTCCTGCAGGTGGAGCGTCTCCCGGCGGTGTCAGCAGCACCGAGTCACGAGCCCGGGGCGGGTTCATCAGCCACGACATGAGCCTGTGCCATTGCCGCGGTGGCGGCGTGCCGGTGACTGACGCGGCGCAGCACGGTGGCCGCCATCCCTGAAGAAGCTAGGCCACCGGGGCGGCGCCGCCAAAGTGTCGCCAATGCTTATATTTGCGGTGTGGTTTGTGTCTTGTTTCGGTTTTTCCAGTTGATATGCATGTCAGTTTTTCAGGTGTGGTTTCCCGGCCGGGGCTGCTCTGTTCCTGCTAGGGGAGAGGGTGTAGGTCCTGACGTGAATACGTGACCTTTGTTTGATGTTGTCCTAGTTTAATCTTGTATTGAACATGAATAATAGTTCGGACGGCTATTGTCTATACAAACAACTTAATTATCAAATATTTTTGTTAAGTGGTTTGTAGTACAGTTCAACAGATGGCATACTTCTTTCTCCTCTTCCTCTTGCCTCCACATTGTAGGATCGAATAGTAAGAAATAAATCAACCAGGGGAGTGAATGGTTGTAGTACACAAAAATCGAAACTTTTAGTGGAATTAAAAGTTGCCCTCGAATCCGATGTAGATTAGTCTAACCGGAGTTTATCCGCCGGTCTGACCGTGCCTGCTCCGCCGATCTAACTGGTGTGGATCGCCCGGTCTAACCGCCCTGTGATCGCCGATGTCACTTGTCGCGTCGCCAATCTGACCGCCATGCTCCTGCTGGTCTGGCCGGTGCGATGCCATCGGTCTGACCGTAGGTATCCTGCCGGTTGGACCACCGTGCCCGAGCAAAAACAAATTGAAGATTTCTCAAAGTGGATTGAAACTTTATTACTTCTCTCTGTGTTTATAAAGTTATAAAGTACAACAACAACACTCCTCACGAAAATCTCGACTAAACTTGAAACCCTAACTTTACTCTAAACTCAATTCTCTCAAAAAGATACCGGGAGGACACACCCCTCCTTCTCTATTTATACCCAAGGTAGACAGCCTAAAGCTACGAACCAACCTTGTACCAGAAGTCCTAATCTCCTAGGAAACCTTCCCATACAAGAAACAAACTTTACAAACCCTAATTGTACCAAATTTGGACTCCCTCCAAATTCGACTCTACATCCCATACTCACGTAAATATCTACATCGTATGTCATATGGAATCTTCACCAACCACATGCACTGATCTTTAGCCTAAGAATCCCACATGATATCCTGATCGTCTGGACATCATCTTCTCCCAAGTTGACTCCCGATCCATCACTGGCAATGCTCTCCCGAGGTATCAAGACCCTACACATGCATCAACCAATAAACCATATCCAAGCACAAGTTCTCACCAACTTGACTCATTGTTAACAAATAACAGTATTACATACGCATAGTATCTATCTAGAATTCATAAATATGAATCATCCACGGATATCCAAAGAATCAACCCTAAATCGAAATCGACACAGCATTGGCTGGTCAGACCGCGGGCTGGCTAGTCTGACCGGCCTTACCCATCCGGTCTAACCGCAACCGTCGGACAAATCAATCCTACCCATCACATGTAATTCAATCATCTCCAAAAACACTTCGCCAATAATCTCCAAATATCAAAATCAATAATCTCATATGCCAATTGCTCATCACAAAATAACAACCAAACACTTTGATTTTACACACATTGTCAAATATCCTACATAAAATTTTATGCTAGATGGTGACGTTACACGTGCCATTATTCATGCCCTTATTATATAAACACTACGGGCCTAGTAACATCACCATTGTTCGTGCCCTTACTTTATCATCAATAAATAACACTCCTACTGTGTCCTTACTACTCATGATGACACGCGTTTTCTTTTTGTTCATGTCTCCTCGACTGGGTGAAGAAGGCTGCTGATTCGCGGGATGCAGTGTCGATTAGTGTACATGCATTCTATATATTGTGTCCGGTAGAGTTGATGGGATGAGTTAACATTTTTTTAGGGATTAATTTCGAAATAAGTTTTTGAAAAGGGCTAATTTGTTAAAGAAAAACAGTGAAAAGGAAAGGAGAAGCTCACGAAAAATACCCTTCTCTTATCTTTATCCCCTCCAAATCCAATCCCCCCTAAAACCCCAGCAGAGCACCGTCCACTCTTCCTCCGACCAACGCGCTCGCCTCGCGTCATCGGCTCAAATGGTGGAGGCGGCCACGCGCGGAACCGAGAGCCCCTCCTCCTGCTAATGCGCCGCCATGGCCGCCCGCGCGCTGGGTCCACCTCCTCTTCACGCTCTCGCAGCCACGCGGCAGGCTCCTCGCTGCCCCCCGGCTGCCGCCGCGCCGCCGACCCATGGCTACCGGCGTGGAGCCGCGGTGCTCTCCGGCCGCCGGGGAAGGTCTGGTCCTCGCCTTTTTCCTCTCCTTGCTTGGTGCCTTGGTGGATATATCATTCTGGTACACCCTTTATTTTTGCTCAATTGCTGGCTTGCAGTTATGGCGGCGGGTTCTTGAAATTTCTTAACCCAGATTGCTTATTATAGTTGTCCTGGAATAATGTCCAGCAAATTCCACTTGTATTTCTGGTGGTATCCTTCACTCCAATCAGCATATCTAGAATGCTAATTACTTAACCCAGATTTGCCTATAATTGTCCTGAAATAATGCCCTGCAAATTCCACTTGTATTCCTGCTGGCATCCTTCGCTTGAATTGGAGCTAGCATGCTAATTACTTAATTTTTGGCTGTTTTTGTTGAGGGAGGTTTGCGTTTTTCGTGGATATTGATTTTCTGGTTAATGTTAACTCATGTTTCTGCAGGCATACTTTGAGTTCAATACAATTGATGCATGCTGTTAGAGGTGGCAATCTTCAAGTGGAACCAAACATGCTTCATTCCCCCAAGCCATTGATGTCCACCAGACGTGGTAATTTCTTTAGTTTAGTTGTCCATATACACTTGAAGCGTATTTGGGATTTTTTATTTGATGAAATATATAACGAGTGTGCTAGGTGGTTCCTGCATAGAACATCAGTTGCATTTCCCAGGAAATTTTTTAGTCATACATTTCAGCAATTTTAACATCAGTTGCTTTACCATGAAGTTGAGGCACGACTTGACTAGTGCGGGTAATGAAATGCGAGGTGCGAGGTTAGCAGTGTCAAAGCAAAGCCTAATTGGTCTGGTGTTAATGATTTTGACTTGGTTTGACCTTGTTCTATTGGCTATACCAAGTTGTTGCACTGGTTTGAACATTTTACAAGTTGTTTACACTTAGATCTTGTTGGTATGAAAGAAAGAAAAATAGTTGCATCTATACTATCAGTTAAAATGCACTTCGCCCGACTTACTGGATTTGTGTCAAAACACGATTTAACTACAAAACATCTTACACATCTCAACTACGAAAGCCAATAAAAAATACCTCCCTAAGAGCAATAGACATAGGTTTCATGGTGGTCTTGAATAGGGAAGAGAATGGTCGGAGTCGGTAGCATCTCTTCAGAAATAATTCTCGGTCAGTCAGGAATCGATCATATTTACTAATTTAATATTGAAAAATACGGTACTAAAAAATAGAAAAAAAAATCTAATTTTATATATTGCTAGAAAATGGTAATGGTTAGAAACGATAACACTTACATGGAAACAATGCTTGGTCAAGAATTTCCATGACCATTTTGATCTCTAGTTCTAAAGACTTTGAATTTCAAATAACACTTATTTTTGTACTTGAATGACACATGGTCAACAAAAGATGTAAAAATGAGTGAAATATAAGTAAAAAACTATTTGGATGTCAAAATCATGAAACTAACCGAGTTGTATCTTCCTTATTTGATTGTTTTAGCCATTTTTATAGTTGCAGGGGTGTAAAATATTCAGTTTTGTAGTTGAGGGGTACTTTTAAGACAAACCCATGATATGAAATGGATTTATTCCTTGTCCCAATGGCAATTACAGTGGTGTCTTTGTCTTAAAAAACAATATGTGTGGAGTGTGGACTAATGTGAATGTTCTTTTAGATGGTTCGCATATTTGAAATTTCTCCATTACAAAGGATACCTAAATTGTTCCCTGTGGATTTTGCACGGGTCCAAATAAGCCCCTAAATCGTTTACGCTTTCAAATGGAGCCTACCCAATATAGCCGAATAGTTTCATGTCAAGACTCTGTTTGTCACACTGCACTATCATCTTTGCGTTCCCCGAAACTGCAATGACTCCTTTGGGCCCTGGGATTTTGATCAGCTGATATGCGTAGTGGGATGCCGCCATGAAATTAGCCAATGCCGTCCTTCCGAGAATAGCATTGTAGGGTTGTGTTGATTCGACTACATCTAATTCAGGAAGTTGTCGGCTGTGCCAAAAGTCACAGGCAAGGTAATCTTTCCCAACCTTTGAAGATGATTCTGGACTAATTCCATGGAAGGGTTGGTCTGATGGTACAAGGTCGTGTCTAGGAATCCCCATAGCATCAAGAGTGTTGGCAGAGAAGGTTAATCGAGTTGCCACCGTCTACGAGGATGCGGGCAACCTTGATGTTTCGGATAGTGGGTTCGACCACTATGGGATACCATCTAAGAGTTGTCACCAGAGTAGGATGGTCGGAATCCGAGAACTCAATCTTTTGATCTGACCATCGCATCTTGGAGTTTGGCACCTCAGTCGTAGAGCATAATTCGCGATTCACCTTATTGTACTCTCTTTTGGAAGAATAGGAGGTGGATCCTCCAAAGATATGTGCTACGTGATGGTTGGAGTCAGGGAACATAGGTCCATCATCGGATGGAGGATTGCTGTTGTCTTTTTCTACCAACCGTACTTGTTTCTCCTGAGAGAGTGCTATCTGTTTAGCCATCCCCTTCTGGAATATAAAGCAACTTTGCAAGGCATGTGAGGTTGTAATGTAGTTACACTATAAATATAATTACAATATAATTACATTTTAGTTAAATTATATAATTATACTATAGTTATATTTGAAAGTTTTCTAGCTAAAAAATCTTGTGCAAATTTTTTTAGCAACTCCCTAGGTAAAAGGCTAAAATTTTATTTTATTTCAAGATAAATTTTAAATTTTATAAATCAACTGAGTAATTAGGACGGATGGAGTTGTTTTCAACAGAGATAATACCCCTGATCTGTAAGCACTAGACTGCAGAATTCCACAAGTAATAATGGATAAACTTCTTTCCTAGAGCGCTTGGCATTTGGGCTGTTGGGCAGTCGGCACTGGAGCTTCCCGTCGCCTCGTTTCGTCGATGGCAAGCCCGGGCATCCTCCTCTCTACTCTCCGCGCCCCATCCGCACATACCACCTCTATGTCCTCCTACGCTACCCGCTTAGCCACCTCAAGCCCCCGCCAGCGTGGAAGCAGCTGCGGCCGCCCCTTCCTCCTCACCCCTCACCCCTCCCCCCCACCCCACCCCCCCCCTCCCCCCTGGCTCGTCGCTGCACCGCCACCTCCATGTAAGGCATGGTTCCTGTTTTTCTTTTTTTTAATCCCATTTATTCACTGCGGAGCATTTTTATTTTCTTGTTCCCCCTCCCCTGGACTGGGAGGGGTTTGTGCTGCCCGTGAGGTGTTCAGCGAATTGCACGAATGCCGCCGGCCATTGCATTTGTTGCCCGTCGTGGTTTGGCAAATTGGCCTTGTGAATTTTTTTTTGCTAGGCTGGCCGAAAGAATGGCTGACCAAATTTAATTAAGATAGGATGAGAACAAATTACAAAGATTACATAACATCGACATTAAGCTGTCGATAACAGGGTCCAGCGGACCAAACTCCTGACACAAAGCAAGCAAGAAAACTAGTTAAACATCATTATTTGTCAACATACCAGCTTCCTTCCATATTACTACCTCATCCTTTATGGCTGCAAAGGCCTTGTAAATTTGCCTTCAATATGTCATCCTTGGACTTTGAGATGCATCTGATTGAGGTTAACTGCAGTCCTTTAGTTGAGACATCTCAGAAAATCAGAATATCTTTTAAAATGTTGGAGAACAAAAATTGAGAAGTTAAGGGCCCAGGCCCTGAGCCTCGAAGGGAGGTCAATGTTAGCCTTCATAGTTCATACTGTCCCAAACACAGTAGCGTATTGAATTATTTGAACTACTTTTCCTAGATTACCTAAAGAGGATTGAGATTACATAATCTATTCAGAACTGCAAAGCTTGGAAGTGGCACAGAGACAACTATTCTTTTTACCCGGAAAAAAATAATCTGTTTTTATGGGCTTGCTAAACTTATTCTATTATGATAATTCATTCTGGCTTTAGGAAGGGGAACTTTCTGGACTTGACATTGTCTTTTGTAATTGTATACAGTTGAACTCTAGTTTTCCAATAGCATGTGTACAACTTTGTTCACTTACAAAAATGTTTCTCGCATCACAAGTTTTTTAACATGAAATTGCAGGGTGTGTGGCTAGTCCTACTATTGCTAATGTGGATGACTGCACTGAAGGTGAAGGTGCACTGGGGTACACAATGACCCAAATCTGTGATAAGTTTATTGAGTTCTTCATGTACAAGAAACCACAAACAAAGGACTGGAGAAAAGTATTGGTGTTTAGAGAGGAGTGGGAAAGATACAGACCATACTTTTACAAGCACTGTCAAGCACGTATAGATATGGAAAATGATTCTTCAATGAAGCAAAAGTTGGTTGTACTTGCTAGAAAAGTTAAGAAGGTATGCTATTATTTGGTCTCTATATGCATCCTTATCTTTTGTAAATTTGTTTGAACAAAGATTTATTTCATAATATGATTGTTAAAATCCACCATGAAAACTTAAGATTTTTTGTGACACAACATATTGGACAGTAGGTCACAAAACTCATAATCAACATATATGTTTATATCAATCATAATGTTGTGACTTGTGAATTTGCCTCATGTTTGCAATTTACTTCTCAGATTGACAATGAGATAGAGAAGCACATGGAACTCTTCACACAGCTCCGCGAGAATCCCACAGATATTAATGCCATTGTCGCAAGAAGACGAAAGGATTTCACTGGAGGGTTCTTCCAACATCTTAATTTTCTTGTTAATGCATATAATGGTCTTGATGAGAGAGATGGTAACTATATGCCTTTTAACAGTTGTTCGTTCCCAAATTGCGCTTATCTAACAAACAACTCAAAGAATTCACTGTGAATTAACTGGACATTGGGTTTTTGACCATCTTGAATTGCTTTAGCATGATCACTGGTTTCCAACAGTTGGAAATGGAAAATGAAAAAAAGTTAGATATGGAATTTAGAAGCTACCTAGATTGTATTTATCTAGTTCCCAGTTAAAAAAAATACATATATTTGGTATTTTACTGCTTTGACTTGTTTTCACATCCAATCGATCTGTTTTATCGAGCATGTTCATTTAGTTCATTTCAAGAGTGTGAATTGGCGTAACAAAAGCATATGTTCGCCTTTAGTTTTAACTTTTGTCCCCAAGTACCACTTGATGAGTTGTAAGACCATGTGATTAATAATTGGCAAAGCTAGATATTCAGTCCAACATGAGGTTGCACTTCTTGTGTGTGCTAAAAGAAATATATTTTTTTTGTCTCTAAATACTGCAGCAATTGCCAGGCTTGGGGCGAAGTGCCTGTCTGCAATCCATGCATATGACTGCACACTGGAGCAGTTGGACCTTGATTCTGCTCAATCAAAGTTTGATGACATTCTGAATTCTTCTTCCCTGGATGATGCATGTGACAAGATTAAAAGCTTAGCCAAGACTAAAGAACTTGATTCGTCCTTAATTCTTCTAATAAACAGAGCGTGGGCTGCTGCAAAAGACTCTACAACTATGAAGAATGAGGTTGGTCTTTGTGAACTTTAAACAAAGCTCTATAAGTATTCTATGTTTGAATCATGATTTCTTGTTTCCTCACCTGAGTTTTGGGGATACTTAGGCAACTCAACCCACCTTAAAAAATATGGACCGTTTCACTGAATATATGTATACTTCAATCTCCAGCAGTTTATATAAGTTGGTAGGAAAAAAGTGTTCCAATTCTACCTAGATATGAAATGAAAAATGTTCTATTCTGTTCTGCATTTTTTATTTTCAATTCTAATAATCATCCTGCGAATTCAACCTTTACTATCACTAGCCCATCTCTGGACTAGTGCATCAGACAGCTCCATTTATTTCAGATGACGTGGTCCAATGAGTTGCGTGAAACCTTAATGCTTTCATTGCTTTATATATTGTGCATCATAGATGAAGTAGCTGGAATATTTATATTCCCTTCTTCCACCAAATAATTTTTAGAGTACTACATATCACCAGCAGATTCAACTTGTCTAGGTTGAAGTGTGTCATAGAGGTGTATTTTGCCCAAATCAAACGACTTTTTTAAGGTGCGTAGCAAGTCACGAAAACACATGGGCACGCGGGGCACTAGTTTGGTATCATACATCATCTTTTTTGCTTTCTACTCCGTACTACCCTAGTTCTCAAGTATTTTTCTCTCCTATTCCATCTCTAACCTGCCAAAGACTACACAAGCTCTGTTAATTATGGTGTGAGCAAAGTGATATATGCAAGCTCTTCTCTCTGCTAGCTACTGCAGTCATCACACCCGACCACACACTTTGCGGCTTCCTGCTCCCTCTTTATCTCAAGTTCTCAACCTCCGAATGGGTCTGGGCAATCTTCTGTACACAGATAGCTCCATAGTCATTTTTTCTTGTGCTTCCTTGTTGAGTTCTTCATATCTGCTCAGACCCCACCTAATAGTTCTCGTGAATATAAAAGATGATGATCTCAGCCATAACAATACCTTCAGAGAGCTCTTATAGAGAACCACTGTCACCAGGGAAGGCACCTACAACCAGTTGACCCCTCTCCCTAGGCATGTGAGTCAGCAAGTCGCAACTTACTAACCATTGAGGATGCCAGTGAGCTTGATAGCATTGAGGACTTGTGGTCCTCATAGGAGCAGAGTGCAAGTGGAGATTGCTTTAAAGGTCATGCTGCCAAGGACAAGAGGAAGACTGAAAGAACGGTCGGGGGAAGAGGGGGAGAAGCTGAGGTTGGAGAGATGAATGTTTGCACCCTACCATGAACTGCATTACTTTTACCGCTTATTGGAGCAAATAAGTAGTTCACATAATCTTTGCACCCTCCTACCATGTTGTTGCACATGTGTTTATATGCAGAGAATATGGTGTATGGAATAAGCATGGTTTGAAGTTAACGAATAGGATATGTGCTTGCTGTTTTCCTATAATTAAGTTTGTTTCCATTGGACCATTTACTGCTTTACGGTGTGGTACACTAGGGCTACTACTTTGTAATAAGAAATGGTTGTGCTCATCCTATGATGCAGAGGCTATTTATTCCATTATCCAAAATTATGCTGTGACTATTGTTGTTTGAAGCTTTTGATTAGTTAAATGTATAATATTGGTCTCTAAGACCTGTAAACATGTCTGTTTATGCATGATTATCATTTTTGACATAGGTTAAAGATATAATGTGTCATATCTATACAACAACTAAGGAAAGTCTCAAGAGCATCTCGCCTCCAGAGATGAAGCTTCTGAAGTACCTATTGAATATTGAAGATCCTGAAGAGCGGTTTGGTGCTCTTGCAACAGCCTTTTCTCCAGAAGTCGAGCATGAAGCCAAGGATGAAGATGCTCTGTACACGTAAGAAACTATCGACAGATATATGTGATGAGAAAGTTTTACTGATTCCTTTCCCAGAAACTATTTGAGGTTTTTTTTTGTTCCTTTTGTTATAATCTTTTTAGTTGATTAAAATAGTCGATTAATAATGTTAATTATATTATTTTTAAAGTAAACACTTGCTAGGATTAACATGCTCCACTGAACTATCATTTAGTGATGTGTAAGCATTAATCTTACTTATCTAATCTGAAAAATCAATATTCTCATGGTATGCATGAAGTTGGATCTGCAAGACATATTCTAATATTTGTGTGCAATCAGTCGTCCAAAATAGTAGTAGAATTGTAGTCAAGGTTGTAATAGTTCTTGCTTCTTCCTCTGGCCTTTTCTCTTTCTATTTTCCTCAACTATTCATCATTGGGGATTACCTATGTTTAATTGCACTTCATTCACATGTACCCAGTGAAATGTAAGTCATTTAACCAGAACGTTTCACAATTTGTCAGGAGAACATTGTTTTGACTTTTAACTACATGTTTCTGCATTGAACTTGCAAATAAAAATAAAGAGCATTGTTTATCAGAATAAAATGGTTTTTGTTTGAACAAGCTGTTTTTTTTTTTTACTGAAGTTCGAACAAGCTGTTGAGGGATGCACCATAATTTGATTCAGTAAGTTGTTACCTTGTATTGTTGTATATGACCTTTGGTTTGAACAAGGTGGTTATTAATTTATATTGACTTTTTTTCGGGAAAGGTGGTTATTATAACGTGTGTGATACTGTTCTCTGAGACTTGCTTATGAGGTGTCATCTGTTGCTTACTTGCAGAACTCCCAACGAACTCCACAAATGGACCAAAATGATGCTTGATTCGTACCATCTCAATAAGGAGGAGACGGATTTTATGGATGCCAGAAAGATGAGTGACCCAGTGATCATACAGAGGTTAACTTTGCTTAAAGAGACAATCGAAGAAGAATACATGAAGAAGTATATACATCCAGAGGAGCAAGAATCTGAGGACGACGAAGATTCAGAAGAGTGAGCTTGCAAGTGTATTTTTATAGTTGTAGTCTTGATGCAGAGATGATATTTTTATAGTTGTAGTCTTGATGCAGAGACGGTATTTTTCTAGTTGTAGTTACTGCAGATTGGTAGTGCCCTGCTGCTTTTTGCAAAGATGGACTTCAATCTGCTTTGCTTCCCTCCTGTTGGACGAAAGAAAATGCCAGTGGTGCAGTAATTGTAAAGTGTATCATGATCATCCCAAAGCCTGCGTATCATAAAATTCCCTAAGATTGGTGGGGTTCCTTTTTCCCTGTTTTTCCAAATTGTTCTCTCCTCTTGATTTTATGATTGTGAGTCACAAAGATGTTGCCAATTAATGCTTTTTTTGTTGATTTATTATTGGGCTGTATGATGTAGTCGGCAGCAGCAGTATCCGGTGCGTGTCTGATAATTGGCGTCCATGGTTGGTAATTGGTGGCGCAAATGTATTGAATGTGTGTTGTTCTCTAACTAGCCTTACAAAAATTATATATCCTCATTTGTAAAAACAACGCTAGCAGTTTGGTCCATAATAACAGAAGAGCGAATTAAAAAAATACATGTTAATAAAGACGTAGATGGTCAATACGGCTTTAAGTTGGTTTGAAATTTATGGTCCTGCTTGGAAAACAAAGGAGATACGAAAAAGTAGGATAAAACAAAAAAAAATCAGGGGTAGTCTGAATTGTGCAAAAGCAAAAGTGGTTTGTGGTTGAAAACTAGATTTAAATTGGATTAGTTATTAAAATTATTGAAAGGATCAAATGCGTTACCTGCCAAAAATAAATAGTAGAAATATAGACATTAAAAAAATTAATTTTAAACCAATGATGAACTCAGTGATTATCTTTTTAAAAATAAAATTGGTCCAGTAAGAGCTGTTAAGTATAAGAGGTGTTACATATGGGTGTGCCTGTTTCATTCCCCTTGTGTTTTGCTATGTGTTGTGTTGTTTAGTCTAGATGGCGGTGTTACATATGGGTGTGCCTGTTTCATTCCCCTTGTGTTTTGCTATGTGTTGTGTTGTTTAGTCTAGATGGCTCCTTATTACGCCATGCGTCAGTTGCGTTGCTTCCTATGTATGCTCTGTCTTGCAAATACATTTACATACTATGATATCTAAAAATGTGCCGTGCTAGATGGACACCAATTATTTTCAACCGACCATGGACGCATATTAATTATCGGTCACCTCGGCGGCGCCAATTATCGACCATGGACACCAATTATTGGACACAATCGGAGATGGCTATTATGTGTCCATTACGTTGCTTCCACTATGTGTACTGTTGTGGCTTACTTGTTTCGTAGCCCTTTCTTTTATTCTTTGGTCCTATAAATAAGATGCTAGCTCCGTGTTACTCCTCATCGGTCGGCTCCTCTGTGATCGGTTGTCATTGCCGCACACGTATTTTTCCCCTCTCAATTGAAGTAGTATACTTGTTCTAAATATATGTCTGCTGCTATGTTCGTGCAAGACGTTTCTTTCAGTTTTTCACTCAGCTCATTTGTTTATTGCTTCGTTGTTTGGACGTCGAGGTCTTTATTTTGTTTTCCCTTGTTTAATGTTATTTTCCCTCCCTACCCCTCTCCCTTTATTTGTCTGGTTGATATTAATATTTTTGTTTGTGACCAACGTCATCCTAATGAATCAGGATTTCCCTGCTGCCATGCTCTGTTCTGGGGTCCTGACTGCTGGATCTGTTCCAACTTAATAAAAGAAATTAAGTATTTATCGGAAAAATTCCGCAAAGATTCAATTTATTTAAACCCATATTCTATCATATGAACGAAATATAGTTCACAAAAGGAAATAAACAAGTTTGGTTAAGACTTATTTATTATGAAATCTCCACCCTCAATAGAGGATTCGAGATGATCAATCCTCAAGAATCGACTCTTCTCCAACAAATAAACTATTAACCTTTGTTTAATTAATTTAATTAATGAGGATTTAATAGTTTAGTTACTCTACCGATTTGTGTATACAGAGGGTGTAACTACAGCCTACTAGGAAAAAAAGGACTTATTTTCATAGGATATGCCCCATCGAGGACAATGACCCATTTCTTAATAGATCCACTAAACTTCGGACACACCACCAAAATAATAAAAAAAGATAACAAAAGTTAATTATCTGCTAACCACACGCACGGCGTGTCGCCGTGCGGGCACTTCTAGTAGTAACTGCGAATACTAGGCATGCACTAGTATCCGTGCATCACAACGACAAAGTACACTGATGACTGATGCGGATATATATGCCTAGCTATTACACGTTCTCTGAATCAAAGGTGAAGGTGTAAATTTATCCGAAAATGCTTCACTTCAAACGCCCGATTAGATAAAAAATGTCGGACGCATGCGGCTAGCTCTGTCCTTACTTGCTATTTGCTACTCTGTTTCACTGTAAGATGCATGCCTAGTTGTTTCTTTTCATTCTTTCCTCCTCTCTTTAAATATTTTTTCTCCTAAATTACTTATCCGTTCTACGAACCGATCACACCGTTGTATTCGTTGCAATTAAATCTTTAGAACAATATACCATATGATTATATTATGTCAAAAGAAAAACATGTGTTTCGAACCGTTAAAACTAAATGTTTTATACGTGATAGTGATATGTTTCAATGTGTGTTTTCGGTGTGTTTCACAAAGTTCCTGAAACTAACTGCTACTACTCTCTCTCTCCACCTCATCCATGCATACATGTATGTATTTTAGCAAGCTTCAAAATGATTTTTCTCTTAAATTACTTGTCCAATCTATGATCCGATCACACCGTTGTATTCGTTGTAATTAAATCTTTACAATAAGATATCGCATGATTATATTTTGATAAAAGAAAAACAAATGTTTCAATCCGTTAATACTTGTTGTTTCATGTGTGACAGCGACATGTTTCAACGTGTATCTTCACCATGTTTCTAAAATATTTAAATGTTTCAGTTGCTGATTTTTTTTGTTTCATCATATATAACTTAATGTTACACTTGTTGGGTAGATTCCTCCAAATTCATCTCTCTCCAAATCTATTCGTAGAGGACTTAGTCTTAACTATTATTTTAACAGATTCTAAAAATAGTATGCATCATCTCTTTCTTATGTGGGAGTATGCAAGCATACAATAAGTAAGGAATAGATTCCAAATAACTAAGCTTCAAATAAAATTTTTTTTTCAATTACTTCTTCGCTTATACACTGTATTAATGGTAATTAAGCATGTATAAAAAGATAGATATTGTAAATTAATGTTATTATATAAATTACTTTTAAATTTGATTAAATTACTTCTTATATACTCATGAGTTGTTTACTTTTATTATTATTATCTTTATTAGTTTATAATTTATGCTGATTAAATTTAATTTCTAAATAGACTTAAGACTTATGTTTTTACCTCAAGGATTTACTTTTGATGTTGTGATAATTTACTTTTATTTTGTACTAAGTTTCTTTTACGATTTATGTAAATTACATTTACTTTTATAAATGTCTAACATGTAAAAGTAATATACATATATGATAAAAGTAATTTAAAATACATATATTTTTATTACAATATAATCATGTGAGAATTTGTTATAAAGATTTTTTTACAATGAATACATTAGTGTAATAGTAGCACCGTAAATCGGATAATAATTTCAAGAGAAAATTCTATAACAAGAGAAAAAATAGCATGCATGACCGCTAGGGAAACAAATGTTGAGCTTGTCGTGTACTTGTACTCCCTCAATTTTATATCATAAGTCATTTTTATATTATAAGTCATTTGACTTTCTTAGTCAAAATTCTTTTAAATTTGACCAAGTTTATATAAATATATAATAATATTTTTAATATAAAATAAACATATTATCAAAATATATTTAATGTTAAATTTAACGAAACTAATTTGGTGTTCTAAGTGTTGCTAATTTTTTCTATAAACTTAATCAAACCTAAAAAATTTGTCTAAGAAAAAAGTTAAACGACTTTTAATATGAAACGGATGGGTAGTTAATTAGTGACACTTTTCTCATGCATGGTTACCGATCAAGCGCTGTGCTATAAGATTAAACTAGATAAAACCCCGCATGTTGTTAATGGAGTTTTATATATGATATTAGTAGAAAAATATCCGTGCATGTATAATTTTCAACTATTAAAAACAAGCTATAAATAATTAAGATGGTGAGGTTTATAACAATTTAAATCATATAGAATTGATCGTTGAAAAATAAAACAAAGATGGAGTGATATTGTTGCGGAAATACATGAGATCAATGATCAATTCAGTACGTAGCATTCTAAGTAAGATTAATCTTTCAATATATTGATATATATAACTGTTGGAAGTGATGAAAGTGACTAGTAAACACTATAGGTAGTTCTTTTTAGAGGTATAAGTGGCTAACCAGCAAAACCCACTTATAGACTGAAATAAGCCGTGAACCCACTTATTTTGATCTATAAGTGGATTCGCGGCTGACCCACTTACAGCCCTAGTTCTTTTCTGATAATTTGATTGTAGATTATTTACAGATTATTCGTGCCACAATTTCTCTAAAACATTTGATATTAGTATATTGCTTAGATAACATGTTCTAAACTATTTGTTAGGTTTATAATATATAATCTTCAATTCATTCTTATAAACAAATCCATCATTCATCAGCATTCGTCCACGTTTCAGGCTTGCTTGGTTCTTTCCCAATCCTAACCATGTCGAATTAATTTTGGCAATGGCAATGGTTGGTTGTTGCCAAGTTTTTTTTTTTTTTGCAAAGATTGCCTAACCTCTTATTTGGTTTTCTTCCAAATGTGTATTTGGACTTGGGCCTTAATTTAACCATGTCAAATAATTTGGCACACCAAGTTTTTTGCTGGAAACCAAATGGATGGCTAAAATTTTGATATTACCAAATTTTCGGCTTGGTTAAGATTGCATGGATGCAAACCAATCAAGCCATTTATCAGAAGAAAAGATAGGCAAAAGACAATCTAGTTGTCCACGTTTTGCTCCACCGTTTGATTGAGATTATTGAGCTGATTATTCCCACAGATTATTTACTTGACCAGGGATGAATTAAATATTTCAAAAAATAAACTTAACATATAGCTTAAAACAAGTGGTAGAAGAAAGTTTTTTTAAGAAAACATTTTCTTGAAGCACAGAGCAAATAATCAATTTCAATAATCTGGTATTAATCCGAAAAGACCAAGGCGAACTATATGAAATAATCCACCCATACAAGTGGTGCTTCGGCAGTTCGCTTAAAATATACTCCCTCCATATTTTAATATATGACGTCGTTAATTTTTTTACCAACGTTTGACCATTCATCTTATTTAAAAAAAAATTTTATGTAATTATCATTTATTTTATTATGACTTGATTTATCATCAAATGTTCTTTAAGCATGACATAAATATTTTTATATTTGCACAAAAATTTTAAATAAGACGAATGGTCAAATGTTGGTCAAAAAATCAACGGTGTCATACATTAAAATACGGAGAGAGCAACTGGTAACTAAGCCACTTTGAACTAGTATAATTCAGTATATAAGGTTGGCAAATCAACCAGAACTGCCAGTTTTTATCACACGAAGGGGGCACGACAGAAAAACAGATGTTATACTATGCTTCAACCATATATCACTTTATTCTCACATGTCAAATATCAATTATAAGTTACAGTAATCTCAAACCCATGCAGGCACAAAAGAGCAAACATATCCCAATTAAAACAAAATGTTGAAATACTTTATCATCATCATCACTATATCTGAAGCAGACCGATATACATCTCTAACCACTCACTGCCTACCTAGCTCTGCCACATACCATCCACTCAAAAGCATCTTACGAGATGCTAAATAATTCTGGTGACCCCTATCTAACTAGTTACTATAAAGTAACCCAAAATACCAGTGAACTAAGCAGATCTAGGTAAAAATAAATATGGGGCTATAACATAAATGAAGCCCCATAATAATAATAAAAAAAGAGATAATGATATCAGTGCCCGTGGACTCAATGGCAGTATGTTAAGTTCATCACTTAATTAGTGGGCATCTGGCTGAGCTATTTGCCAAAACGCAGGGAACTTTCACAAACATGTGTATTAGTGTGAAAGGAAGAAGCGGTAATCGGGATGATTGACTCGCCGCTGGCAAAGCCAGTCATCTGCAGCTTTCAGGAGCGACTTAGTTAACTGTTGCTCATGCTCTTGATTTGATGTCCACATGGAACCATTAAACTTGTGTGATGCTAGACCAATGAGAGGCAGTGTGACCTTTCCAGGAACATCATAAATTTTGCTATCATGGAAAACATTTGTCTCAGGATGCCCACTTAGTGTACCTGCCCAACGTTGCATATTAATTAGCTGTATGATTCCAGTTTCCTAATTGCTCAGTTATTTTCTTTTAGATGTAAAAAGATATCTAATTAGTACGTGATATAAAATCAATTAGCAACATCTTGTCTAGCTTTGAGCGCAAAAAGGGGATTACCTTCCGCTGGTGTAGATAGTGAATGGAATGTTAAAAAGCAAGCATCCAAATCTTTCAATGTTGGTCCTGTCGGTATCCTGTATATGGGATACCTGCATCCAACGTCCAATGGGTAAGACAACCTGTGAGGCAATGGATCTAGTAGTTAAGGAGTAACAGGGAATACCATGCTACAGAAATCCAACTGGATGGTAGAAGATCACAGCTCTTATATGTTCTTAAATCAGGAAATCTATTAGCAAGTAATGATATCTGCAGCCAGAAACAGAAGAAAACCCATCATCTTGGTTGCAGCTGCAATATTCATTGGCCAGAAGAAAAGAAATTAAAAAAAAAAAGAAGTGTACCATGTCTGCTAAAGGTTGTCTTCCATATGGTGCATCATGCTCCATATATTGGAAAACAGGGTACAATTCCTGGTTGCCAGACTCACTATCATCACTGGAGAAACCATCTTGATCTGCAGAAATACTGTTAACTAAACATCGGCATCTTAAATGCTCATGGTCGCTCTCACTGCTCATATCCTGAGCACTCTCACCATCACTATCTTCACCAAGTCTACTGAAATTAAAAACAGGTAAAACTATTTTCAGAAATAAATTTCATTGTCTCTCAAAGGAAAAAAAGAAAGATGTGTACAACAAAAGGATGTGTTCAAACATCAACCAAGAGTAAATACTGAAACTTGGAAACATATTAAGATTAATATGGTCACATTTAGGAAATTTATGGACTTTAAATAACAAGTGTAGCTACTAATACTGCATGATCGAAGCCCTGCATCACACTGCTAACTGCTTATGATATAGATTGGTCAATATTATGTTTAAATGAGACTCCCATTCACAGTTATAGCCATTACAGGATAATAGCAGTGTTAGGCTCTACAAGCACTGCTGTATGCCTGTATGCCACCATATCCATACCTAGTTACTGACTGTGGTACACAGTTTTCCTTGTTCACACCATATTTACTGAATTCGCAGAAATCCCCCACAAACCGCAAATGTTGTAAATGGCTGCCACGCCATCATGGTACGTGGTCAATCTAATTCACACCAATACACATTCAAATTTGCATCGAGATGGCAAAGGAAAGAGGAAGATAGCACCTCTATCATGAGCACAATCCTCAGAGAAGTGGGGAGGAGGAGGTGGCATCAGGGTGTTGTAGCTAGAGGGAGAGGCAATGACTGTATGTAGTGAGCTAGAAGGAGTTAGGGTCCTTCCTGGGCTTGTTATGTGGTCAGGCCCACCACTCAGTCACAGCCCCATGATATTCAATTCTCATGTTTTCAGGGATAGGATGGCTAGCACAATCATTTCATACCCCTTCCGTCCACAAATATAACCATTGCTAGGATGGTTAGTCGAGATTAAGGTTGAGTACATGTGTCCAGGACAATGGTTCCTCAATGTACTAAAAACCTCATCTCCCCACCTCATCTCTGATTTAGCACATGTGAACCAAAAACACCAGGGCCACAAACCTCATCTCTGATTTGCAAATCACAGAGGACCCTGAGCCTGAGGCCCTGATGAATTGTAGTTTTAGGAATTAGTAGATTGCAAATCACGAATTACGGCAACTGTGGTTCAAATTGGATCAGCGGATTTCAAATGGTTGGTGTGGGGTGCACATGCAGCAATAAGAGAAAAGTAAAAATCTTCACATACAAGCAATAAGAGAGAGTACAATCCAAGGACTTGTTACGATGTTATATCACTATATGTTAGCTCTTTGTGATAATCATGATTTGCCAGAATGCTGTGTCTTTTACTTCTTATTTCAGAGAAAAGTAAAAATCTTCACATACAAACTAGTGTAGTAAATGGATGTGTGTAGATACCACATGCAACCAGACCATGAGACATGGCCATGTGTGACGTCATATGTAAGGTAGCTCTACGAGTTAGAGAAGAATGCAAACCTTACAGAAAAAACATGCATGAGCTGCAGTTCTGATCCATATCTAGAAAATTAACTCTTTAAAGGCAATTGCTAACTACAACACTTAGCAGAGGTGTGGCTATTACAAACAATGCCACTCCTCTCCAGCTGTAATATGGGAAATGGAAACTACAGATTACTATTCCTATGTTACTTGGTCAGGAGTCCACACAGTATGGGTCATCAAAAGGTGTTCTCTAATCTCTACAAAGATCACCATGAACCCGGATCGATTGGGTCGAGTATGGTATCATAGGGTATACCTCTTTGAGACCATAGTTTGGGACTGACATGGGACATGAACCCAACAAATCCGGGTCAGTGATTGATAACCCAACCAATAGCCATTTTTATGTATAGTGGATATGTACTTGTAAGTACTCCGTATATCAGATTCTCTACGACTCTACCCCTTGCTCCACACATTGAATGCTCTCCCTCTCTGCCATAATGGCTTGTTCTCATCACATTCTTTTCAAATAACCAGGCCCCCCACCTCCTGTCAACCAGTGGCAGCTGGAGGCACCAGCAACAACAAGCTACATGCATCACAAGACAAGTCACTAGCGTGACCCATGCTTGCAGGAGATGACCATGACCTCTAGGGAGGAGGCAGCAACAGCGGCTTCTCAACCTGGTTACCTTCATCTAATCATCAACCTTTCCATCCACGATACGACTTCTCAGGTTGGTGTACTTTTTTTGCCAATTTTTATCTTCTACTGATAGTGTTGTTTGCCTAAGTGAGCTGCAGATTGTCATATACTATTTACGGCTAGTGAGGAAACATACTTTGATTATACAAAATCTACTATACACAAAAAAAAAAAAACTGGGAAATTCTCCCATTTCACACATGGTGAAAAAAATGACAAGCCAATCCATACCTGCTCGGCCCTAGCCTAACATCCCAACAACCACACAAAAGGGTAAGCCATTATCTACCAATGTTGAACTCATTTGATTCTACAAAATACTGGATACGCATTTCATGGATTCCATCAAATTAATAATCCTCTCTTGGTTTGCTTCATCCAGTTAGGTATATAAGTTGCCGTTCCAGATATATCCACAGTTCTGAGCACTCAGACCGCAGTGCCGTTCATATTTAGGCAGACAGAGAGAGAGGTTTATACCCTGAGGTTGACGACGGCGGCCGGGCAGCGAACAGCTGGATAGCCGACAGGAAGGGGACGTAGTACTGCACGACGCCGTCCGTGCCATTGAGCAGGAGCGGCACGCCGGCGCCATAGGCGCTCCACTCCGCGAACGCCTCCCACAGATCCGCGAGCTCGTAGTACGGCGGCGCCCCGGCCGCTCCCCTCTCCCGCGAGCTCGAGCTCGTCTGCACGCGCATACGCAACCACCACCCCCAACAGAAACTGCGTCAGCTTAGCAGTAAAAATCTCAAAAAAAAAAATCCAGCGCCTCCTCCTCCTCCGCTCGAGGACACGCACCCGGGGGAGCCGATGCGCGGGAACGCGGACGGCCGTGGACGCGATGAAGCACTCGAGATTGGTCTCCTCCTCCTCCTCCTTCGCCGCCGCCGCGGCGCTCCTCGGCTGCCTCTCTACAGCCGCCGCCGCCGCCTTAGACGCCTGGTTGTGGTGGTGGTGGAGCAGGTGGCGGCGCGGCGGCGGGCAGTAGAAGCGGTCGGCGGCGCGGGAGGCGACGCCGGGGACGGACATGGCTGGGCTTCAGCCGAGCGCCGCGAGAGAGAGAAGGATTTTGATGTGAGCGGCAGGAGGAGGGAGGGAGACAGAGAAAAGAGGGCGTCGTTTGCGGCGGCTGCTGTGGTAGAGCAAGCGACGGCCTGCGAATTATATATACTCCTATATGGATACTACTTTATATATATATAATAAATAAATACTAGCTAAAATATTGCTATAGATAAAAATGAATTATGAGTAAATTTCACTTAACCCTACTATTATTACCAATATGTTTTTTTAAGGACTTTCATAGTGCAATACCCTGTTAAGACGAAACCGAGATGCCATATATAGGATGGAGCTCTCTTAAAAGGCAACTCGTTCAAAAGTGCACGCAACTTTAAATAAATCGTACCATATAATTTATCAACCGACATTTTTCATATCCTCCTCTCTGCCTTTCCCCACTGACGGAGGAAGCTGAGGAGCTCTCCGCTACCGCCTTCCGTACCCCCATCATGTCTCCGCTCGCCGCCATCGGCCACGTCCACGCCAACACCATTTCCTCCTCCCCCTCTCCTTCTTCCGTGGCGCCACTCTCCCTCCTCCACCGGCATCCTTTCCCCCCACCGCGAGCACCTCTCCCCTCATCTCTCCCTAATGGATATGGTGGTGGCGACGAAGAGAACGAGCTCGATGGCATTGGGTGGCGATGGCAGCGCGACAAGGAATCTAGTGCCGTTGATGGGTCAAGGACGGCTCCAAGGTGGCTTGGAGCGGGAGACGACGACGAGCGGTGGCACGGATCGGGGAACAATGATGGACTTGATGGCTTAGAGTGGGGACAACGACAGGCTCGGCGCCGTGGAACTGGGACAACAATTAGGTTAGACGTCAGATCCGCCGCCTCCTCTTCCTCCGCCACTGCCTCGCATGGGGTGTGGGGGCATTGTACGAGGCCCATCCTCACTCAACACGCCGTTCGACCCGTGACTCGTTCCGCGCTAACAAAGGCCTACCAAATCCTAATATAACAAAGAACACATGCCTCAATTTGGCTCCGTAGACTGCGGTCTTCAGGTTGGTAACTCTAGATGCGTGCATGGCGTTGAATCTCTGACGTGTCTGGCTGGGGCCGAATGCCAAGGAGACGGACCGTGAAAGCCCTTAAGAAGTATAAGAAGTATAATGTGATAAACAAATAAAAGAAAAAGAAATGGTACTGTATTTATTTTGGCGGAATCGGTAGTTGGCCGCGGCAGCAAACGGAAACACGTACGGTACGTCTGGAAATTTGAATGCCGTGGATTGCAGAACCATGCGAGATTATATAACATAGTCATAGATAATTGCTGGAAACTTGTGCGGTTTTGGATTTCTTGCGTAGAAAAACATGCAATACATGTTGTTAATTAATTACTTTCAGGAGTAGTATAGTCGAGTAGATAGAAGAAAATGATCGAGATGCATCGGATTTCTCGAGATTATGCGCGCGAAGGTTGAAAGTCATGTTTGTTTCCTCGAGCCCTCCAAGGTACACAGCGTATCTTCTAATCTCAAATTGCTTTTGTACTTGTTATCCCGATTATACGGAAGATATATATACGTGTGCACACATAATACCATATACTTTATCTATACCAGTTTTGAGTGCCCTCTCAACTCAAGTAAATCTGTGAAGCTTACAAAATTATGCGAACATTCATAGATGAGTTGCAGTAAATATTTGTTAATCTTAAGTTCATTATTTCATCAAATGAAATACTACCTATATATACATCTCTCAGACAAAAAGGAACAGAGGGATTATGCAATTTGCCTACTATATTTATCACAAAATTAAGTTGGCAACTTCTATGTTATTAATTGGTGTTTTCATGAATACTAAGTAACATGCTTTTATATTATAACGGATCAGAAATATATATATATATATATATATATATATATATAAATTGGGAATGGATTGTAATGGACCAGACCCATATAATTAATAACAAGGCTAAAAAAAGATTGAAGATAAAACATTAGACCCAGTGATTATAGATGCGAAGTATACTGGGTGGGTGGTGGAGTATACCAACGATGCGCGAGAGGGAGAGAGGGGGGTGCGAAGGAGGACGATTGTGCTGAAGAAAAAAGAATAAACCATTAGATTTTCTTTTTATAAATGAAGTGACGGCACTCCACATCAGATTATTAAAATATAACTAGAAATTTACATTCTTGTGAATATAATGTTTGCAGTAACTTCTTGCAAAAGAATTGACTGGATAACTTTCTTTTTTAAAAGAAAAATGGAAAAACTTATATTTCAACCTAATTATTCGAATGAAGCTAAAAAAAACATAACACTAATTTAAAATATTTGTTGTTGCACGTCTGATTTAATTTGAACTGAAAATTGTCACATTCAGCGTTTCTTTTCAACACCGTAGTGCCAAAATTTGTGATCATATTTCTGTATCCGACTTGATCCAAACGGTAAGCATGTGTTAATCTCAATGTTGCCTTGGCATCTCAGCTCGACGTTGACGTGAACCCAACAGAATCCAACTAAATTATGCGCTGAATATATAACAGGGGCAAAAAGAGCGCAGAACCAAATAACCAACACACATCGTGCAATACCAAATTATTCGAAAAGAATCTAAGCCCTTGTCGGACGACACGGCAATACGAACTTATTTGAACAAATCAACAATTTTCACCATTTCGATCAATTCATCTCAGTCAAGGTTTAATGGCCACGGTCTAGTCTACATATTTTTCGAATTAGTACTCAACGGTCAACACTCTAGCCCTCACATTTCCCAGGTTTGACTACGCTTATAAGAAATATTTCTTTGAACAAAACCCTTGACCTAAGTAGTAACTAAGCTATCACATTTCCCGGGTTGCCGGTCATGCATATCATAATGTAGGTTTTGGTTAGGACAAAAATGAATAGCTATTCTTGCTCTTTATCTGCCTTACAAATGGGCCTGTGTGTCAGTGTGTGTGTGTGTGTGTGTGTGTGAAGAAATAGCCCTCTGATTCAATCCACAGAAAGAGTGAACAGTACTTAAAACAAGTACAGACATGCTGGGGATGATTTCAGCAAAAGGGATAATATTCCTTTTCACAATGCAGGTTCATTTATGAGACTGATCAACATGTTTGGCTATCTCACTTTCAAATTCAACATGTCACCTGTTTTCTAACTTAATTTGACTCGACTCATGACAAGAATTTTCTCTAATATGATCCTTGATCTAATTAGCCCTCAATGCTTGACCAGACTTACAACATGTATTTTAAAACACAATTCTTGTAGCGTAGAGCATCCCTTCTCTTCAAAGCATATTTTCTTAGTTTATTTGTTTGAGATATGTTGCATTGCACTCATACTCTAATATAGGTGGTGTTCTTTTCTTCTGAAGATGAAGATTATGTTTTTTACGCAAAACAATGTGGTATTAACGTATGATTAATTGAGTTTTAATTATTACAAACTTGAAAAATAGATTAATATGATATTTTAAAGCAATTTTCATATAGAAAGTTTTCGTATGAAACGCACCATTTAGTAGTTTGAAAAACGTGCTATAAAAATATTAATCTTCATCCAACCCTAGTTGAAGAAAAAAACGGGCCATAGTATAGCCATAATGAAAACGTCATAAATCATCCAATTCTTAGTACTATTAAAAGACCCTGGATAGACACAATTTTTTCTGGTATCGCATAATTTGGATTTTTCAATGACCAGGATGGCATTGGCCCTATCAAAATACAGTCCTATATATAATCCTCACAAAAAAATATATATAGTCCTATAATGTCTAGAGTAAAATATAATATCCAGCTATGATCACAAACTCTCCAAAATGCATCACAAGCTCAGTTGGTGAACTGACCCGTGACTCCAACCAAATGCAAGCAACACTCCCTGTTACAGCTGCTGCATCAGAGAGTGATTGGTTGCAAGAAAAAACAAGTAAACAATCCCCAATGAGATTGCAACATGGGAATGCTTGCAAGCATGCAAAAGGCACAGCCGTACAAGGGTAGTGTTGCTTGGATGGTTTGGCAACGGCCAAATTGATAATAAGGAGAAGAAAAGAGACTGACTTTAAGTGTGTGGATTGCAGGACCAGATCCACTAAATAGGTGGGTCTAACTGAATTGAAACAGGTGGACATACATACAGTATCAGTTGGACCGTTACACCAAACCCTGAGCACACATATAAATTCAGCGGTCAACTGTTTTTGACTAAAAAGCAAAGCATACAAATTGACAGTTTTGATCGAATTCTAACTGTAGTTCTGTCAAAAATTGAACTTTCAGCAGTCCTTGAATTCTTGTTAGGTCTGAATCCAATTCATCCAATATTCCAGCAGTTCACTAGTTCAGTGTACTAAGCACTCAAGCAATGTTTAGAAGCCTCCCCCCCCACCCCCCCCCCAAAAAAAAAAAACTTATGCAAAAATGGCATCTTTTCACACACCAATCATTTATCCGTTTCAAGGAATTAATATTCCCACAGAAGAATCAAAGATGCTAAGGTCCTCAGCAACCAGTGATGTCAATAGTCCTTTGATGTACCTACATTCCAAATTCCAGAGAAAAAAGAAAGTCTGTCTCCTTTTCTTCTTTTTGTCAAGATAGCTCCACCCCTTTTCAAGACAATTAAAAGCAAGCGGTACATGTCGAAGTCTTGTGGATGTAAGTGGCAATTCCAGCAGATAGGATCAAGATTCGGTGCACAAAGAAATGGCCAAGCTTGAAGCTAGTGTAGGTGCCCAACTTATGTAACCAAGTTGAACAACTAGATTAAAGAAAGTAGAGAACAAGAGATAAGTGGATATTGGTATCATCCATAGCTTTTTACCGAGATGGGCGCCATATTCTCCCGGTGACAAATTCATGTCATCTGCATTTGAGGTGTCATATCCTTTGGTTTCATAAACATGGTAAAAGAAATGCACTCCAAAATTTCATATGCTATATAGGTCGGATGAATAATTGAATATTAGAAAATAGGACAAAATCCAAATTACTCCCCTAAACTATCACTATAAAGAACAATTTTTTTGCAGACAACCTATTTCTTTTTTCATATGGACTAAAAGAACTCTCCTATGCAAAAATATTTAGAAGCTGCCCAATAACAACCCGT